ATTGTATCCAAACCTTATGTTAAAGAGGCTTACGATAGGACTTGTGTCCAAAATAAGTGTAATCAGAATAGAATTGAAAGAAAAATACCAATAACAAAATAGCAAAATGAACAAAGCAAATAAACCGCTATAATAGTAAAAGTTAAAGAATAATATCAACTAAAATTGATATTGAGAAAAAAAATTCAAGATTCTCTTTGATTTGTCGGCACAACTACCTTTGCATGTTAGTAACCGATTAATGTGCATGATTTTTTTTTAACTGACGTTGCTGGTGGTACGTTATTACCAACTTTGTCATTGTCTAAAGATTCAATTCAATGTCATATCCAAAATTTTCTAATAATCTTTCAAGATTCCTTAATTTTTCAAGATTTTCTTAAAACTTTATTTCCAATTTTGACCGTGTGATATATACAAGTAATAGATAATTGTAGTTAAGGGCGGATCTATAACGTTGTCTCGAGTTCGACAGTAGAATTGATAATTTTTGTTCCTTAATATGATTTTTAAAATCCATAAACTCATAGCTTCACGTCTAATTATGATTTTTAGGCCAACTTCAATATACCTCAATCAATTCCACAAAATATTTGTTACCTCTTATCAACACATTTACGACCCACGGTACCTAAAGAGTTAGGTAAATATTTTGTCCAATGTAGAAAGTTAATTTTTCACCGACCTAAAAGTTAAAGTATAGCATGAAAATGATTGCAATGAAGAATATGAGAATGGAAATTATTAAACCTTGTAATTAGGTGCTTAAATTAACTTTATGTTTTTGTTCCTTTGTGTTTTATGGGACTAAGTCGGTTTATGTACATTTGATGGTTTGTTTGCTTTAGTTTCAAGTGTCAATCCAAGTATCATGGTTTTTTACTTTCTTGTGAATCAAGGTTTTGGAGTCTTTTGGAGCCTTTTCTAAGAGTAAATGATCAATAAAGGGTGTTATTTTTTTGTCTTCCCATTCGAGGTTTATCTATTGAAGCTTGACTAAAAATTTAAATTCGTACCGAAAAGTCCAACATTGGGGGATAAAACATTCCCTAACGAAGGCACTCCGTGTCCAAGAAGACTCGAACCCAAACATTTGATTAAAGATAAATGAGTACTTACCACTTAACCAGTTGTTAGTGGTGTTATTTTTTTCAGTTAAAGCCAGATACATCATAAAGTTGTAGAAATAATGATGATACCAAGAAATTGGAAAGGAAAATCTTTCTATATACCTTATCATGGATTGCAAATCATTATTCTCTTTGCTTTGAGTAAGGATTAAATGCTACCAAATTGCATCAAACTAACATCTCCTGTCCCAGACACATAAAGATATATACATTTCTTTCATAATGATAAACGGAGTACAATTTTATTTTTTTAAAAAAAGTATTCTAATGAAATTGTCCATTTGGTAATACCTAAAGGATTATGTTTTCATTCCCTCTTAACTAGAATTTTCGTCTTTGAGTCCTAGGAATGAATTTTTTTATTGGAAGCATTTCTCTTTTTAATGTGTGAATCAAATTAGTTAGGACCCTAATATATATGTATATTACGCATGACACATGTGATTTTTTTATTTAATTATCTGATATTCGAAAAGTATTTAATCTACGTATGCTAGGTGAGCCTGTTAGGAGAATCATTCTTTTTATAAGCCTTTTCGTATTTTATGCAATGCAATTATTATTTAGAGAATTATTGATTTCCCAACTTGAACTCGGAATAATTTGATTAAGAATGGAGAAATTTCAATTATCTTATCACGAGTTTCAATGGTATGTGTGTGTGACTCATTCATACATCATATATAGTACTTTCAATTATTTTTCTTGCTTATAGTTGTTTCTAAACAAATTATGGGCACATGTTAAATGAATGAATACAAAGTTTAAGTTAAAATTACTGAATTCTGCTAAATCCGTAGCTACTGCGCTACATCTCCACCATTTGTTTACCACACACATCGTTTGGTGAAAAAAATAAGTAAAGAGAAAAGACGTGCATTTATGAAGAACATATATACATGCAAATATATGGATTATTGACTTAGGGAAGAAGGTTGGTTGAGGGAAAAAAGTAGATGGGGAAAAAGAGTGGGGAATGTTAGTTTTGGAAGACAGGTGAAAAGTAACAATCAAAAAATAATAATGTTGAAGAGAAATAAAGGCACTAAAGCTGATAATAATGAAACAAAAATAAAGTGTAAGAAAACAAAAGGTCTCATGATATTGTTGGTTTGTGGAGTCTTAAGACAAGAGAGATATTAAAGATAATAGCTAGGGCCCCAAAGGCCAAAACACCCACACACACTATACATATAAAGAGACTTTCTTTTAATGTGGCCATTGCTTGTTATATCACCTTATTGTGTTTTGACAAATTCAATGCCTATTTTAATTTATAGATTTTCCCACCTCTATTTGTCTCTTCTCCCTTATTGAACTAAGCCCAAAAACTTTTCAAACTTTTTTTTGTCTTCGATAGTTATATTATAGGATCTAATTAAATTTGATTCATATGAAAGATAAAACGCTTATTAACAAAGTTAATTTCATATCCTAAAGCTAGAGCACAAAGCTTTTAATGAAATATGAAAAAATATTTATCATTTTATAACGATTTTTATTGGTTACGTATGACATATATGGAGTACTTTCTCTCTCTTCTTGGTACATAGGACTAGTTTATTTCAGGATGAAAACATGTCCCTAAATCTAGACTTAAATAATTGAATTTATTATGAATGGTCATATTCCACGCACCAAAATTGGACAAGCTATTGAAAAAGATATTAAGAAGAGAAGGATAATTTTAATTGGAATAAAATATAAATACTAGTTTTGCTGCATAGAATAAACATTTTAAATAGAACTGTCAATATGGGTTGGTCGTCCCATTCGAGCTAATCTCATATTGAAATGGGAAAATTACGTGGTTAAGCAAATTTATACTACTTAATTACTCATCATAGCTATAGTTTGCTATAATTATCACTCGCGATTAACATTATACATTAATTACGGGGGATGACTTCCAGTTTGTATATTAGCCACGTTTGTAGATGTATAATTCGTCATATTTGTATAAGTCACAGCTAACAATTCTTTGTTTGATTTGTATTTGTATACGATTGTTTATATTTGTATATGACGATGATTTCCTTTAGTTTTCCAGTTTTGTCATCATAAACATTCAATCTTTTTGTGTATAACTTTTTAAAGTTTGTATAAATGTGTAATTTTTTTATTTTGTATAATATAATTTATATAATGTAATTTGTATAATATATTTTGTATAATTATTTCAAGTTCATATGTTTATGTTTGTATCAATTCGTTATTTCGAGTTTTATTATATTTGTATAATTTCAGACTTTATATTACTCAATTATACAAAAATATGTGAATTATACACACGAGATGCGAATTATACAAATTATTGTCCAATCTCGCTCGCCTCTCTCCTCCCTCTCCCAATCTCGCTCGCCTCTCCTCTCCCTCTCCCAATCTCGCTCGCCTCTCTCATCAGAATATACAAATACATATGTATAATATACAATTATCTAACCGATATACATATACAATTCACCTCTTTCCCACTCTTTGCCCTCTCTCCTCCCTCTTCCAGTCTCGCTCTCCACTCTCCTCCCTATAACATGTAGCTATGAATCATAATTAACAAACTATAGCTATGGAGCGTAATTAGGCTATTTTTGAGTGGCTGTATGCGAAAGTTCATTGACGGATAGTCTAGATTGACTCATTTTTTTGTGGGCCAGTAAACATTCAGCCCAACCAACCAGTACGTGAGCTTTGGATTGTGCCGGGTCATCTCACTTTTAAAAAAGTATATTTTTAATATTTTTTAAAATTAAATTATAATTTAAAAATATTAACATAAATATCAACATGATATCTTCATTTTCATGCACAGTTTATATGCAATATCAATTAGCTAAATATTAAAAAAATAACTAAATTTAAGAACTACGTATAGTATTTAAATGTACAAAAAAAATGTTATCAATTTGAGATAAATCATACAACTGATTTCAAGTAGCTAAAAGTGTTTGAATATTTTCATGATGGATCCAACTTCTATACTTGGTGAGAACATGTCTATCAATATTGAATGAGGATTAGCAGTAATAGGAATATTAAGTACATCACGTTTGATGATTTTAAATTTTAATATTTCAAACTTTAAATAGTCTGTAATTTTTAAATGTTAAAGTTTGAAACATAAAGAATAACGTCATAACTAGTCTTATATATGTCAATTATAAAATTTTATCTTTTTAATATTCCATTTTATTGATAATTCTTAATTTTATTTTTTTTAGCCCACGGGTAGGCTCAAACCATATTGCACAAGCCCACAAACCAACAGGCTTATCCAGGCCGAGCTGATAAATTAGTATATACTTAAATTATCAGCTCATTAAATTCTTAACCATGGTTAGTTGGTGTGATTAGTATAAACACCCTATATGCATAAATTATTATTCCTTTCATCCCATATTAGATGAGCATTTTACTAAAAATAGGTGTCCCATTTTACTTTATCACTTACTACATTGTGATAAAATTAATTATTTTTTTCCTATTTCACCCTTACGATTAATATGACCTTCGAAAGTTTAAACAATTACTAATACTAGTTATTCCTATAGTATACTTTATCTAACTTATTTATGAACATTGATATGAACAAAGTCAAAATAGTAAAGTCGATCAATCTATTACTAATTTTAATCATCCTGTAAAATAAAATGTGCATCTAATTTAGCCCCCGCCAGCGTAATTCCAACCTTTCGGGTTTTTCCGGACTAAAATGTTGGGCTGGTTGATTTATTTGGTTCAGAATCATTTTAGGCCCATATACTATCATTATAGGCCCATGGCCCATAATCACTAGACACAAATTTGGCCCAAACATTAATGGCCCGTCTAACCCGCCCCGTTATTTCCAGCTTCGCCATTGCTCCTCCCATCACAGGTATCTACTGGTTCTTTTTTTTCTTGAAGAAAAGCTTCAAACTTGGTCGGTTTTTCAATTTATTTCTATATTTTTCTTCCCCTTTTTGATATTTTTGTAAAGTTTATGTTGCTGTTTTTTTTTTTTTTGCAATGCTAAGTTACATAATCCATATATAGATGTCCGAAAATGTTCTTGACTGAAATATAGTGAAATCCGATGGTTGTTAAAGTTCGATCGCTACTTTATATATTGCATATGCTTGCTTGCTACCCTAAATATACTATTTGTGCATGATTGTGTTGTTTTGGTGTAGTTGGGTACTGTGCATGTGAGGTGTTTGATAAAATGCGTAGCTGAAAATTTGGATTTTCTTGATTAAGTTCTTATTTGGTTACGCTATCACTTGTTTACAGCTTGTTTGGGAACTTTGTTATTGAGCAGAAAGCTTGATTATATATTTCTATGGAGGGGGAAGAGGATCAGGTGACGAAAGAGAGGTTAGTAGAGGCGAGAGCAAGAAATATCAGCCACAATGTTAGGTGTACAGAATGTGGCAGTCAGTCCATTGAAGATTCTCAAGCTGACATTGCCATTCTCCTGAGGAAGGTATGTCTTATTATTACATTTCTCGCATTTGCATCACTAGTTTCTTTGATGGAGAGCCTTTTGGATCGAGCTCGTCGCACCGGGCTTGCCTAGTGCGGGTTACCTCTCCAATGTGGTTTGCGAGCTATTACATAGGAGCGGGGTTTTTACCTGCGGGTTTCCCTTGTCATAAAAAAAGTTTCTCTTAATGGAGAAGACATTTAATGCAAAAAGAAGAAAAACACAAGGAAGCTGCTAAAGTTGTGTTTTGACCATTGACACTCCATGCCATCTTTTTATGGTAATATAAGGCCCATAAAAAAACAGTTGTGAGGGAACTTTTGGTAGATTCCATGTAAAGCCTAAGATGTGTCTCTAAGCATAATTTGGGCTCATTGAATTTAATGGAATTTGGAAGAGGGACAAGGTTAGCACATGGACGAGGCCTTCCAGGCTCTTCTTCCCACAAAATTGGAATGGAAGCTGAAGTGTGAAGAGGGGTTAACATCCCTAAATCCTCAGCTGAATTTACTGAAAACAAAGGAAGTTTTAATTTTGGACTTGTTTCTGTCCCCATGCCTCTTTTTTTTTTTTTTTTTTTTGCTTTGCTGGTTTGATTTGTAGGTACAGAGGAGAGTAACATCAGTTATGGCCAATATTTTTGTACAGAGGAAAAGGTCAATGACTATAATGTATTCATTTTCCCCACGTAGCATTCACACTTTCAGCATGTGTTACATAAATTGCTTTGGCACAAAATAAGAATTGATCTCACGACCACATAAATGGTTATGAGTTTACATTGTTATGCAAGCTTAAATAAGCTGAGGTAAAGTGAGTAAACAAACAAGTTGCCCATGATATTACCTTTTTGAAGGCATTGAGTACTTCCTTTTACATTTAAGACAATAATAATTGTCCCCATATCGCTGACATTTATTTTCCCCGCTTCAACTAGTTCTTTCCGCTGTGTTCTTATAATGAGTAAACTGAATTCTTTCAATCGGTTCTTTCCTGTTCTATGGTCTGGTTTCTTGAACCGATTGAATATGCTATTTCTGGATTGTCCATCATTTTTTGAATAAAAAAGGAACTGTATTTTGAACTAGCAAGGAACTATTTTGTATGTGTGCACAGGAAACGATTTAATCTTCTTTGTTTGTGAAACTTGCTTTTGATTGATGAAGAGTTAATCCAAGCGCAAAAACCAAGACTTCCTGATTTTGTGGTTGACATTTCATTTTTTATTAGGTTTGCTCCTATGAGAGTGTAATGTCATAATTCTATGTCTTTTGGACCAACTTACTAATTACCTAAATTATCATACTGAAGTAGAATGTTTTTCACACAGAAGTGCATTTTTCATTTAGGACAAGTGCTCTTTGCTTTGCATCATGTGGCTTTAGGTACTTCCATTTATCTAATCAGATACTCTTTTTGCCAACTAATTGTATGTTTGTTCTAGCTATTAAACGTTTTTAAAAAATGAAACAAATGGAGTAGCTGCATATAAGTCCTTGTATCCATGCCTAAGTTTTTCCTACTTTTGGGAGTGCTTTTTGACTTGGGTCATCTTTTTAGCTAATTCGAGATGAAATTAAAGCTGGGAAGTCTGACAAGGAGATCTATACAAAGCTTGAAGATGATTTTGGTGAAACCGTACTTTATGCCCCAAAATTTGATATGCAGACGGCTGCTTTATGGCTCTCTCCGGTCAGTTGAAGTTTTTATCCACCTCTGCATTGGTATTTCAAAGATTGTATTGATAGACTGAAACACTGAAGTTTTTTGATATTTTCTTGATGCAGCTACTAGTTGCTGGTGCTGCTGGAGGTTTGTGGGCTTACAAGAAGCACAGACAGAAGACCAATGTGCACATTATGGCTTTGAATCTCGTTCGAGGAATTCCATTAACCCCAAAGGAGAAAGAAACCATGCTCGATGTCCTCACACCACCTCCTGGAGGAACGTCTTCCTTGAGTTGGTGGAGAAGATTGCTTCAGCAATGAAAACTCTATAACCCGTCATCACTTCCCTTGTATTCTATTTTTTTGCTAGAATATCTCAAATTGTCAGCTAGTCAAGAAACCACCCTTATCCATGTCATTTCGCATTGGCGTGTTTGAATTGGTCATCCGTCATCCTGATTATACAATTTTCTAAGGGTATTCCCTGATATAAGTTATCGATATCTTATTGTACAAAAGGGTACAATTTGGCTATGGTTAACTTCAATGTAATAATAATGCTTACATAGTTTTGTGATAAGAGCATCTTAGCATATATTATACAGTTAGTTTTTCATTCCTATCCTCTATCAAAAGTTGACTTTTGCATAACTAGCTTTTAGTCACAATCTCTTCGATAGAGGTGAGACTTTCAACTATTACATTCACACTACAGAGTGTTACAAAGAAGTTGAAAAAGGAAGTTGCTTCAAACTTACAGGCTGGGAACATTCTATCTGACTTTCCAGTGTGCAATTTGCCACAATTATCGGCTACTGACATGTGAACACCTTAGCCAACTTGGCTTGGAATCAAACTTATAATACTAAAGTTTTGATTTGAAATCCCCCTTTTTCCAATTCTGTGATTAAGTAAACGTCTAAACTCAAAACGAACAGTTGACTCCAGCAAATTTGAAGTGTCTTAATTGATTAGTTATTCAAAGTAAACATATATTCCTTTCTTATCAAGTACTATACGACCAGATCTTTCAAATAGCATAAGAAAGTATCTCATTTATCTTCTTCCTACTCAGACTCCAAAGCTTTAGATACAATGGGAAGAGTTGATTCCTCTAATGAAACTGAAAATCCTCAGCCAGTCGGCGGTGTGCCAGGAACTCCATGGAGCACTGGCTTATTTGATTGTCATTTGGACCAAACTAATGGTATGTATAGAATTACTAGTTTCTGACAACGTGCGTTGCACGTTTATTCCTTACTATTGTTATATAATTTAAAATTGTGTTATCAAATAGAAAATGTTTAAATCAACAATATTAATTTTACCAATTTTCATGTATTAAATAAAATACATAAAAAGGGATTGAGCATTTCACATCAAACAAGAAATATGTGAAATTAATTAAGATAATATAGTCTCTTAACTTTGTGTGCGTCTTTTTTATGATCTAAATATCATTGATAACCTTTTATAGCCATGAATGGATAAAAAAATCATGCACGCTTATTGACAAGATTGCCTATTTTATTTTAATGAGAAACTGAGCGTAAAATATGTGTATTATTTAAGTAAAGTTCTAGAAGGCTAATGAAAGAATACGTGAAGATATAGTTTCAAAAATTTACAAGATAAAAAGCAATTACATCTAATATATAAAAGTGACAGATAAAAAATTAACACATTGGACTTCATACATACATCTATTCCAAAAGCTCATAATAATAGCTAAAAGATCACGACACTACAATGAGTTCATAAGAAATGTAAAAGAAATTATAAAAAACAATACTCTTCCTAATGGAGAACCGAAAGAGATATGAGGACTTAGGCATATCTAAAAAGAAGTCTTCAAGTTCTTCTCCCATGTATTCTATTTACTCCTTTATACTATTTCTTGGATAATTTTTTTGATTATCCTCTTCTCAAGTTGAATGACAGTTTCTTTCATTTTTCAATAGCTATCATCCAGTTCTTAAATAGTAGTGAAAATGTCTGTTCAAATTCTATTTTCAGGTTCTAAATAATAGTCTTTTAATATATAGATGGGAAGATGAGAAATACAAATCATAATTAGACTAAGTAAGAGAATTAACATTGCCACTAATTACTGCTCTAAACATGGAATCTAGTCTATCTAGTTTGAATGAATAAGAAGATGAAAAATATAAAATCAGTGGCATTAATCGGGTAAATGGGGGCGGGGGGGAGGGGGGGGGGGGGTTTCATGTACCAGTAATTATTCTAGGCTATACATACATGTACAATCATTATTATGATATTATCTAAAATATATCTTTTCACATTCCATACACTTAATTATTTGCTTAGTCCTTTAGGTTTCTTTTTCTTCTGTTAATATAAGAAAAAACTGCACACCTTTAGAAAATGTGGAGCATTAATATAGAAATGCAAGAAAACCTAGAAATAGGGCTGTTAAATTTCTTATGTAATCTCTCTAAAACGTGTAATTAAGTCTTCAAACTTTTAAAATTTTCCTATAAACCCTTGAGGTAATTTTAATTTTGCTATTTACTATTAAATTAATTAGATGTTTGCTTATTAACTCACCCTAGAACGTGTATTTAGTCTTAGTTAATTTAAATTTTACTATTTATTATTTAATTAATTAAATATTTGATTTAGTGTAGGGGTAAAATGGTAATCTAACTTTTCACTTTTGAAGCTTCCCACTTATAATAATATATATGATAATCTTAGTATCAATTACTGTCTTATCATGAGGTGAAGGATTCATCATAAATTGACTAGTTTTACGCTGGTTGTCAGCCTACTACAACTCTCTTCCTTTTAGATACTGTAGCTATTATGTAGCAATGATATTAATATTAAACGTTGTTGTTTGTGCAGCTGCCATGACAGCGCTTTTACCTTGTGTGACGTTCGGACAGATAGCTGAAGTTCAAGATGCAGGAGAAATGAGTAAGTTATTCTCTAAATCTATCCAATTTGCCTTTTAAAAGAATGTTGGTTTAGCATTTTAATACTACTATTTTAATATATTAATTTGCTTTACTTTGAGTTAAAAGAGTGTTAGTGGGCATTCTTACATTGCATCCGTTGGTGAGGCATATATGACATTACTCACCTATCAATGCACATAGGCATTATTGCCCATTATATTTTGGTTACAAAAAACGTTCCACTGAACGTTGGGTCAACACCTTGGGCAGTTTTGCATTTGCACGTTGGTGCATTTGTTGCCCACACAATTACTTCTCCAAGTTATTCCTCCATTACACCTTGTAACCTATGTAACTCCTAAGACCATTATTTTCACTATTTACTACACCATTATCTTCCTATTCATTGCTAGGAAGACTTCTTGTACTATAAATAGTGGTGGTCTTCATTTGGTTTGTCACACAACATATAAGAAAAATATAGAGTGAAAGAGTTAGTCAAAAAAAGAGTTTTTATTAGTTGAAGGGAGGTGTTCTTGTTGTGGAGGTTTGGACTCAACTCTTGTCCAGAGTTGTTGAGTTATATTTTTGGTGATTAGGCTGTTGTATCCTGGAGGGGACAAGTCAAGAAGGACTATTGCTGGACCGGTGAAAACATTTGCTGTAGTGGGCTTGAATCTCCTTAAAGAGAACGAGATATCCGCGCCTCAGCCTGAAGAGATTTCTATTTCTTCATTTTATTTCAATTGTAATCTTGTATTTTTTGTTATCTTGTAAGTTTTTCATTAACAAGTGTGTTAGTAATTCTTTGTGATATTTGGATGGTGGTTGCAGCTTGTCCATTGGGGTCTTTTATGTACCTCTTGATGATGCCTGCTGTTTGCTCTCACTGGATCATGGGCTCCAAGTACAGAACAAAGTTGAGGCAGAGGTACAATCTGGTGGAAGCTCCCTATTCAGATGTAGTTGCTCACATCTTTTTTCCATTTTGTTCACTTTGTCAAGAGTTCAGAGAGCTTCGTATTAGGGGACTCGATCCAACTCTAGGTATAAAATCGTCTTTCCTATTAATGTTCTGCTTTATCATAGGCAAATCTAGAAACTAGAGTCAGTGAGTTCAAAATGAACGTAATCTTATTATATGTGTGCATTTCAAATGTTTTTCACCTAAGTACATATATAGTTCAAGTCGAAAATAATGAGATACACCTCTATTAACTTATAAGAGTGACATTTTAAAGAGAATCAAATTGTTAATATGGGTCTGTAAAACTTAATGCAGGTTGGAATGGCATCGTTGCTCAGCAGCAACATGGAAACCAGCAAATGAATCAAGCTCCCTCAGTACAATGCATGTACAAGTAAATTGAAGAGTACTGATTTTTGTTATTGTTTAAATTAAGGTTGTAATTTTTAATTTTTTACCAAATTCTATTCATGTTTGAAGTTTATATCCTTTTAATTCAAGCACCTGTTTGTAATATTGTTCCATTTCAGTTATAATGAAATTTTCTTTTTATTTAAAGAAAGTAATGCTCTAGGCCCAATTGCCTTCTTTTATTTTACTATTCAATAAAAGTCCATTTACGATTTAAATACTGAACTTTATTACAAGGAAAATAATCAAAAGTATCAAGAATTACACACAATTTAATTAGAGAGGTCTAGCCTGATGTGAAAAGTGGTAACTCCTTTCGGATAGAGAATGTCATTGCCCCGAAAATCAATAAGAAAATAAGTGTTGCATAAATTCTTCTCTCTTTTTCTTCTCATTCTTTTTTGTTGATCAACAACCAATTAAAGCGCTCTATACAAAATAAATAAATTAATTAAAAGGACTCATTACTACTACTACTACCAGTTAACCGTATCTGGCAGCAACATCGGCGCCTTGTGCAAAATTTTCCCGATCACCTGACCGGCGGCAGTATTGAATTGGGAGAAGTGAAGGGCAAACAGAAGAGTTACTCAACCACTTTCGTTTCAATTGCTCTCCCTTTTTCAATGCATATTCTTCATCGAACCTTGTCAATTTCAATAATTCTCACTCTCTGTGTTTTTATATGCGATCGCCCAATCAAAATGGAATTATTAATTTTTCATGTGCGTCATTCGCCTTTGTTGAGATTGAGAAATGGTAGCAATTTGAATTTTGTTAACTTTCAAGCAATCTCGTATGACATTTAGCTTATCTATAACGAAGATTTTGCTCTTGGCGATTGAATTTTGTGGCTAATAGTATTGTATTTTCTTATTATTTTATTCGGGTGGGGCAAGGAGAAACGAACATCGCCTTTTTGTTTCTATTTTTATTTTGTATGATATTGCTCTAAATGGAACACCATAGTGTGAGGATTCATTAGCCGATACCAACTTTTGGTAGCATTTAAGCTTAGTTGTTGATGTAGGGTGGGGTGCTAAAGACTTGTAGTAATCCTTTATGGAATAACTAATTCTGACTGTTAAATGAATCAGAAACAATGAAGGAAATAGAATGCATTTTCAAATTCTATTGTGTAGTTTATTAGGCTTCTTTGCTCTTTGTATTAGGTTAGACATTTTCCATTTGTGTTCTTATTCTTATTAATCTCTTAATGGAGGTTGATGGATATTTGCATCTATGACAACTACTTTGTATTCTTGGAGTACCATCTGTTCTGTTTGCTGAATATCTCACACAGCATACTCTGTTGGACCAGGATGCTACACACTCTCCTATTCCGTTGTCCTTAAAAAAGTTAGAGCTAGCTGATAGGTATGTTCATTGATACTTCTTTCAATACCAATCGATATTCTGAATATCATCTGCCTATACAATATCATTGTTATCAAGAGATTATGCAAACTTTTCAGAAGGCATATTCTTGCCTCATTCCCCTTTTGAATCTTTCTTAACGAGAATAGTTATTTCCATGACTTCTTTCTGCTTCCATTCCAGGGATAAGGAATTTATGCGCTTACTCTGTTGATATTGATTAACTATAACTTGGGACAGAAAGTATTGTTTTGTGATTTGGTTCTTATGCAAGATAAATGTAATACTCGAGTACCAAGATATGCCTGCTAAACTAATATTTGTCGTTCAACTTATGTAACAGATACCTACTCGCCTGTCTGTGTGGGACTCGCTGCCTCGAAATGCTATGGGGAAGGTGAGTTGTTCCAAACCTTGCTCACCTCCAAACCATAAACAGGCATCAAAACAATAAGTGAAGACCACACATCTTTTTCATAAGCTTTATAGCTTCATAAGTATATATTAGTATCTCAATTTATAATTTGACTGTGGTAAACTAGCATAATTTGGCGCATTTCACTGAGTTTACCTGAGTTTTTTCAGTTGAGTTTGCCTGGAAGATGATCATCATCATCACTAAGCTCCATCATTCTCTTAGTGATGTCAACATCAGCAGAAGGTCCATATTGCCAGCAACAAGCCACAAAATAAAGCAGATTAAAACCTGTCAATAGAGCAAGAAGCCAGTAGTAATACTCATAGTGTCCCTTGTTGATATTGCTTGAAACCCAACTTTCTGTTCCTTCTCCTTTGGTGTACTTATCCACAGCATTCAAAATCACACTTGCTAAAAGACTTGCCACTGCCATTCCCAGTCCTAAAAGAGCAGATGCAATACTTGACATACTCTTTGGGAGCTCCGAATAATAGAACTCTGTGGAGCCGATCGCGCTGAATGCCTCTGCGATCCCATTTAAACTGTTTGGTATAATGAGCCACAATGCTGACATCTCCACCAACCCCTGCGAGTTGTTCAACAGCCCTTCACTGATTGCTCTTCTTCGTCGAATATGTTCGATAATACCAGAGACTACCATGGACAAGCAAGACACGAATATACCAAGTCCCATTCTGACTATAGGTTTTAGACGAACTGGTCTTCCTTTGATCTTTGATGCCAATGGAAGCATCACGCGGTCATACAGTAATACCCAAATTGTTAATGCAATCATCAAAAACATCCCGAATGACCCTGCTGGAAGTTGGAATCCTTTAGTTAGATGTCTATTCATGGATTGAGCTTGTAGTAGTGGGAATGAACTTTGGCTCAAGTTTATTGATATCATGATCCCCGTTGACCACAATGGCATTACTCTAATGAGGGCTTTTAGCTCATCAACTTGCTCCACTGTGCAAAGGTTCCATGGATTGGCTGCACCTCCATTTAGCTTAACATCTTCAGGGCTTTTAATGATGCAAGCTTTGTTTAAGAATCTCAATTTATCCGTTGGCACTTGAGGTCCTGAACCATTCTTGTGATGGTAATCAGAGTTCTGATTGGGGTAGCAGAGTTTCCTATTCTTGCAGGCAACGACAAGTACTTGTATAAAGCTGGCAAACACGTTTGAGCGAACCTTTGGCTTGATATAAAACGGAGAAGCAATGAAGAAAAACAGCGCGGATAAGAACATGAGGATTGCAGGAACTCCAAAACCTATTTTCCACCCCAGTCTGTCTTGAAGGTAAACGATACCTGTCAGGGCAATCAGAACAGAGACTATGGATGAAGTATAATACCAGGCAAAGAAGCTCTCCAACACTGTATGCTTCTTGGGATTACTACCTCCCTTGTCAAACTGGTTAGCACCAAAGGCTAAAGAACACGGTCTTATACCTCCAGCACCAATTGACATGAGCAGAAACGAGAAAACCAAGAGCATGTATTGTGATGTCGTTGTAGATTTACAAGCCTGTCCTGATTGATAGCAAGGCGGAGGCCTTGCTTTCGGAATCATTGCTGTTAACCACAGCACTACTGTTCCCTGCAACAAGAGGGCATTCAAGTGTTAAAGGTAGGTAAGTTAACTACAATCCTCTTGTTTTATGGGAATAGCCACATATACTGTATAGTTAACAGGTCCAACTGAACCTATTTTTCGGGTGCACACTCGCAAAGAATCACTAAAATTACAACAAATATTTACTATTGTGCAAGCTTCCGTGGTTGATTTAACAGTGACCTATAAGATCATACAGATCACACAGACAAAGACAAGAAATTGGTGACCTCGACCCGAACGAGAAGAAGAAGATCGAAAACTATAAAACACTAATTAGCAACATATTAGTTTTAAGTTAAAAAGTTATATACCAGGAAACTGAAGATGGAACCAAGGCCAATAGTAAGGAATCGACCTAGATATGAATCAGCAACAACAGCTCCAACAATAGGCAAAAAATTAGTAGTAGCTGACCAGAAAAACAGAAGATTTTGAGTTGTAGTAATGTCCATCCTGTATTCTCTCATCAAATAAAATGTCATATTTGGTAAAAGCCCATAGCTCGCCACATTCTCCAGTGCCTCATTTGCTGAAATGATTCAAAATAAACTTAATTATAACATAACAAAAAAATCCCCAAAATATTTGAAACTACTCCAGTACCTATGATAAAAGGCATGGTAATTAGTCCACCCTTCTCTCTACTTTTAATTGGAATCAGAGAAAAATGTGAAAAAGTTTGCCTCTCTGAATCCTCCATTTTAGATCCTCGGTTTAGAGGAAGAAGCTCTGCCATTTCTTGCTCCATCTCCTCACTTACTAGAGGTTATTAATCAGAGGAATTGGGGATGAATGGAGAAGTAAAACAATGAAAAACGCAAAGTCAAAATGGAAAAAAAGACGAAAAAATCTACAGACACAGAATAATGATGGGGAAGTAGATGCAGCTGGGGAAGTGGATGCAGCTGCTGATTAGCAAATGCAAGAAAAAAGCATGACTCATCATCACATATTTCTATATCTCTTCCCATTTTTTATTTTTTTATTTTATATATATATTATAATTTGTACCATTGACCACAATAGACAGGCTGCCGAAAGATGATTTTGCTTGTGATTCCGATTTCCGCGTGTTAAGGTTTTCTTCTAATTTTTTCCCTCATTTATATTCGTATTAAAGTTTGACTTTCTAATTTTTAGTACTATCAGCACAAAAATTAAACTTAGGGCATTTTCAATTCTATTCTTTATTTTACTCTTTAAATATAATTTTTTTTATTTTTTTAGACAATCAATACTTCAACTCAATTTTCTATTTTACTCTCTAAAAAAATATTTTTTTCTCTCTCCTTAATATTATATTATTATTTCTACTTCATTCCTATTTTCTTATTTCATAATCATTCCTATTTTCTTATTTCATAATATAATGTATTTTTCTTTTTTTTTCAAATAATCACTTTGTATAATTTAGATGTAATATAACTTTTATTTTTTCAATTTTTTTATGTAATCTAAAATTTTATTTTTTCTAAATAACATAAATTGCAAATAAATATTATATAATATACAAATTAGTGGACATAAATTAGAACCAAAATTGTTGTGATAAATTATTATGTTATGTATTGTGTTATCTTGTACTTAAATTATTATATTATATATTGTATTTTAAAATTAAAATTTTTATCTTATCATTTTAATTTTGTGCATTCATCATAGTGACAACTAATAATAATAATATCAAATCATATTAAAGTGACAAAAAATTTAAAAAATAAAATATTATTAATTCGAGATAAAAAAAAGTATATATTAAATAATATTTTTTAAAAATATTATATTACATTTAAAATAATTACGTATATTAAATATTTAATTAATGGTCTTATATGAAAAATTATGTGTTAATTATAAAATAATAGAAATAATAATAAAATAATCAAAAAGTGAAATAGAGAGTGAATAGTAGTTCTCCAAATTTGGAGAACTAGTATTCAACTCTTTATAAATGGAGAATAAAAAATGAAATAGAGTGCGGTTGAAGAGCCCATTTTCTATTTTACTCTATAAATATAGAGAATAGAGACTAAAATAGAGATGGGAGATGATCTGATATCTAATTAAAAAATCAACCCATCCTTTGATCGTGATTCTGTGTCAAAGGTTGCATTTCTTTTCCTCGTTGCTGGTCCCATTATTTATCTTTCCACACGTTCTCAACTTACAAAAAAATGATAGTATTATTTATTTCGAAACTTCATAAAAGAAAAGAAAAAAATATGAGGTTTTTAAGAAGTTAATGAAGACTTTTCAAAGGTTATTTAAGATTTTATTTGATCTACTCATAAGTTATCAATTTGATTGCAAGCTTGAAAAAATTGTTTGCAATTTTTTGTTTGTTCTACTTGTAAATTTTAAAAAACTGATATAAGAAGCTACTTGCTTGAGTGTGAATTTCTTCAGGAAATTGTAGAAGTCTAAAATAAAAATTCACGATACAATATGTTTATACTACTTTCCCCCTTTTTATCATAAATTGTGTGCGAAAATACTCTTTTCATTTTTTAATATGTTAAAAAAGAAGGGAAACTAAGGAAATATCTTAGAAAAGTAAAATAATTACTCCCTCTATTTAAAAAAAGAAGAAGCTCAGTTTCCTTTTTAGTCTGTTTAAAAAAGAATGACTCATTTCTTTTTTTGGTAACACTTTAACTTTAACTTTTCACGTGACATGTTTAAGGCCACAAGATAAAAGAACATTTTGGTACATTTGACATAATTTTATTTTAGAACCACAAGATTAAAAAGTCTTCTTTCTCTTCTTTAACTCTATTCCAAGTTAAACTAGGTCATTCTTTTTTAAACGGAATGAGTACAAATATATACCCCTTTACATTTATATCTCACTAAATAATTACATTATATATCTTAAACTAATTTCGCGTAACTGATATTATATCATATATTGTATTGGTATCATTAAGGCTGGTAATCGTCAATCATACATATACTCTTATATTATCATTGACTAATGAGTAATTTCTGAACAAGAAACCTTAATGATACCATAAATATATATACTCTTATAATATCATTGACTAATGAGTAACATCTGAACAAGAAACCTCAATGATACCACAACAATATACATATACTCTTATAGTATCATTGACTAATGAGTAAATTCTAAACAAAAAACTTTAGTGATACCAATATATACTGATTTGGTATCAGTTAAGCAAAAATTATCAATCTTAATGAAGAGGGTTTGAGCTGTAATTATTTATGAGAGAATGAGTATTTCTTGAATTACTTTTAATTTGAATTTGGATATAAATATATAATTATTTTAAATTTTATGACCTATTTATATGGTTTTTCCAAAAAGAAACTCTTAAATTGCAGCATTATGTATGTTTAAAAGCCCATAGCTCGCCACATTCTCCAGTGCCTCATTTGCTGAAACAATTCAAAAATAAAGATGAACAAATGGCACAGCATGTAATCTCTTTTTATTTATTGACAATATTTAGCCCTTTTTTATTTGGAAAAATTACTTAAATACACAACACTTCTTTATCTATTCTCAATATTTCCCTACTCTTTTACTAAAATACAAAAATCCCTTATTTTCCCCCAATTCAACTTAACCGGATACTTTATTAGTTTAAGTATCTGCCCGTTATTAATTAAAGTATCCGCGTTGCTATATTATGCATCCGCCTGTTAATTAAGTATCCGTGCTACTAACAACTTAACAATTTAAGTATCCGCCCGTTATTAATTAAAGTATCCGCGCTGCTATATTAAGTATCCACATTGCTATATTATGTATCCGAAAAACACTAAAAAAAGGGATTTTTGGTAATTAATGAAAGAGTAGGGAAAAGAAGTAATTTCTTTCTTATACTATGTCATTTGCCTAATTTTTACTTTTTATTTTTATAACAAAAAAAGCTTTTTTAAAATTGAAATTGGCATATTTTAGCCCACGTTATTCTATGAGAAGTTATTTGAGTTTATTGGGTAGTGGGTCAGTTTTTCCTTCTTTTTTCCTCCTCTTTTCCACGTTAATTTTAGTTAGCTTTTAGTGGTATTGTAAATATTTAACCATTATTCTTCCATTCACTTATACAATAGTTGATGTTACTTTTTAGAATTCCTTCCGTAAAAATATACTATGTGTCTATTTTTTCTTCATCTTTGTATTTTGTTCTCAACTCTTTTCATTGTTTTTTAAGATTTAAAGATTCGGGTTTATATATTTTGGTGAAAATTTAAGAGATAGTAATTGTTTGTGGGTAGCAATTGTCATGGTTAAGAAAACAATTCCTAAAATTACTCCTAAAAAAGGAGATTCTGATTTTGATTTTGTGGATTCTCCACCCAAAACTTCAAATTTTAGCCATGCAAGTACTTCCAGGTATCCGATTCGTAGTAAGGATAATTCTAAAGGTAAACAACGTGAATCGATCGGTGTTGTTGATAAAAAGATCAAGAAAAGAGTTATTTCAGTTGAGGTTGCTAGAAGGAGAAGGATTATAGATAGTGAAGATGAGGAAGATGATGATGACAGATCTGAGGAAGCAAAAGTTTTAGTTTGTAATCGTAAGGAGTCTGTCCAAAAAACTGTAAGAAAAAAGAAAAATGCTAAAATTGGTAAGGCTCGAAGACGAGAAGTTGTTGAAAGTGTGGTTGATAATCGTGTCTTGAAGGTATTTTTTGTGTTCATTAGCATCGTGAATTTTTTTTGGGTACTTAGTGTAGTCTTCTTGATTTCTTTTTTCTTTCTTTTTAAAAAAAAATTCAATCATAGTGTATTTTTTGTGTGTATTATCAATGTGAATTTTTTTTGGGTCATTAGTGTAGTCTTTATTTTTTTTTATTTTCTTAATTTTTTTTAAAAATTCAATCATAGTGTATTGTATAGTGTGTTGGTAGTTCATATAAACAGTACTTGTTTTATTCCATGATATTCTTTGGTTCAACATTTACAAGACAAATTGAGGGAATGGAGGGAGTATGGACAAACAGAGCTGTAAATTTTAATGGGTCGTGGAAAAATGTATACTTTGCCTCTGCACTTACTATTCCTTAAGATTTTCTTTCACAAACCTACAATTCATGTCTTTGTAGAAATAATATAAACAGAAAAAATGTTCATTCTCTGCCCTTAGGGGAAGAAAAAGAAAGTCATGTACCACACAAATTACTTCTATTATTTTAAATATTTTTTATTGGTAATAATAAATTCAATGTCTCTTTACCTAAATTAAATTTACATTTTATTGAAATTAAAATAAAAATAAAAATACTAACCTCTATGGTTGCATTATATTTTTATTTTTCGAATAGTTGACTCATATATGTATTTCTTTTCAATCATAGGAATGAAAAGTAAAGTAAAACTACTTGTTTTATTTCATAGAAAAAAAAGTGTAGCATATGCATAAGGTGAATAAGAAAGCTTGAGAGAGAAATAACAGAGGATTCATAATAGAATAAACTGAACCTGATTTCTGGAGAGACCAGTCTGTTTTGCCAACATATGTTTATCAACATCAGTTAGATACCTGCGAAAAATCAACCACACAAACACAAACAAAAAAGAATTATATCATAATGTATACATGTTAGTTTATATTTAGTTTAAATTAACTAATTAAACTACATTTCTTGTTTGAACAATGGATCATTATTAGTGCTGTTTGTCTTACACATAGTAATAGATACTAGCTAGTTATTGTTGCTTTCAATCATATTAGATGGTTATGATTTGATTATTTTTTTTACTTTGCTTTTTTTTTTTTTTTATATATTGTAGTAATATGATAGACTACATTTAGAACAATGGGTTGTTGACAGTGTTGTTTGTCTTACACATAGTGATAGATACTAGCCAGTTATTGTTGCTTTCAATTATTTTATGAAGTTAAGCATTGATTTTTTTGACTTTGTTCTTTGTTTTTTTTTGATATTGTAGTAATATGATAGATTATAGTGTGAGCAATTTTTTTGTTAGTCCAATAGTTAATACTGTCAATTTTTTTTTTTAAGTGAGCAATTTTTTTGTTAGTCCAATAGTTAATAGCCTTGCCAGTATGTATGATGTTTATCTT